GGAAAGAGTCCAGGATGGAAGCTACCAAAGAAGTCCCGAGCTTTGCCTATTCTGCAATCATGCTGGTCTTCCTCTCCCTTGGGCATGATCAGACAAAACTAGAGCCTTGCCTGAGTGCTCAGAGGCTGCCTGCTCATGGTGGGTGCCCAGTCTCGGGGCAGTCCCAGCTGCTGGTCCCACAGAAGAAATCCTCAGGGAGCTCACTCAGGAGTCCATCCAGGTCATCTGCAGTGGGGATAGAGAGGGTAGAAAGACTGAGTGACATTAGTGTCCCATGTGACTCCAGTCCAAGTCTCCTTCTCTATAGCAGGGCCTGCACCTGGCTGAACAGTTGGGAGGTGGCTCTCCCTGGGCAACGTTGCTCGGGCCAATAGGCCTGAGCCTGGCCTGACCTCCATTTTCCCTCTGCTCCTTACATACCCACACACAATAAGAGGCAGGAGCAAAATGCCCAGGCCATTCTGCTGAGAAAGAGATTCTCTTTGGGCCTCGATGGTTCTTTTCCTTCTATCCAGAGGCAGTGCCTGAGCAGAAAGGTTTCAGAGGTCCCCTGTGCAACCTCCTCATTGGACAGAGGGAGAAATGAGGCTGGGGAAAGCCATTAGATGCATTCAGAATCACATGGTTCGTTAATCTGGTTTCTCATGTGAAGACTGGGAGATGACACTATCCCCTTCCCCAAAGTGCCCCTGTGGGCGTAGGGAATGAAAGCAACAGATCCTGACTGTGGTTCTCAGATGGGGTGCTTATGTCTGAGAATTTGGAAACCAGGTTGACTTCAGTAATCCCTATTGCTCCTATTATTAACAATATTAGCTAACACTTACTGAGTGCTTGCTCTGTGCCAGGCACAGGGCCATACAGGTTATACTCATCAGTTCATTTACATTTCACAGTACCCCTTCATAGGGCATCTTGTGGCAGTTCCCCACTTTACCTGAAAGAACAGGGTTCAAAGAGGTCAAAGCACTTGCCCAGGGTGAGCATACTCAGGTTCATGTGATGCCATAGCCATAGCTTCCAACTAGAAAACTCCCACTTAATGGTTGGAATCAGGCAGCTGTATAAGTCAGACTGGAAACTCAACCCGCAGAGCCAGCTCCCAGTCTGACACAGAGCACTTGATAAACATTGCTGCTGGAAGGATAACGTCAGTTTGGGGGCACTGAAAATGGAAATAAGGTGACCAGCACTGTTCTCAGGGAAGTAGGACTGGAATTTGACTGTAACAATGTAACAAAAAAAGTTGCCCCTCATCAGCTACACTATGACTGCTTGGAGAATCACTATGCTAAATGAAGGGAAATGAGCAGTCAGGAAACTGGGGACCAGAGTAAAAATTAGTATTTGTGTCTCTGAGCCCTGTCTAGCCACCACTTGCAGCTGCATGCTTGGCAGGTCTGTCCCTAGGGTGGAGATGTGACACTAGCCTCAATATTCTATAGGCAATTCTCCTCACTCTTATTCCATGACCACCAGCAACCTTCTGATGGTTTGGCTTGTCATCAAGCTTACTTTCAAGGGTTGAATTTATGGAATCAAAAAGCTAAGGACCAGACTGGGACTGTGTTGGCTCCACCTGGGTGAAGCTGCCTCCTGAGGAATAAGTTCCCCTAAGAGGTCTGTATTTGGGCCTCTCAGGTCTGTATCCTGGTCCCATCCTAACTACATGGGTGTTAGACTACTCGGCACTGCCTTGAGGGCCTCTGAGCTTAGTCATGATAGGGAAATCTGTCTCTATGTTCTGGCCATCAGCCCACAGAAGACTCAAGGTGTGGCACAAGGATGATGTCAGTCCATCTCCTAACAGCTAACAGCACATGACATGGAAATGGGGAAGACCAGCAGATCACACTTTATATGGCCCCTATCACACTGTTAATTAGTTTGTGGCCTGTAGCCTTACCAGAGAAGACACCACATTTGATTTCTGTAAGATTCCATAAGATCTAAAGATCCACAGAAGGAGGAACAAGATGCAGCCAGAAGAATCTGGCTGAGCTATTCAAGAGGAAATAGATGGAGAACCTCTTTTGCTCCTGGGTAGGCCGATTGCCTTACCTGCTTCTGGGAGCTCTTCCTCGGGGGATGCCTCTGCCTCTGGGTTCTGTGCTGTTCTGAGGCCTTCCCCAGGCTCTGAAGTCTTATGCTGGAGGCTGCCATGGAAGCTTCCTGGACCCTGGAGACAGAGGATCCAGTTACCAATGCCTGTGCCTCTCAAGCCCCTTTGACAGTACTGTTGCCACCTAGACAATCTCAAAAGAATATACCAGGGCTCAGGAAAGATAGGATGGAGGAGTGTGGCAGAGGCCAGTCACCCAGGCCCATGCTGAGGTGAGGGAGCTGAAATGCCAGAGCCAAAACAGCAGATAATTAAAAAAACAAAAAAACTTTTTTGGCCGATTTTCTTTCCTAATTCTGTTGGTATCTGATATTTTAAAGAATCTATATAACTGGAACAGAGAGTGAAGACGCCATTCAGAAACATGTTGAAGAGTTAGCCTGGGATTAAAAATTAGTTGTTAACAATCCCAAACTAGCTAACATATGGACAGGTAATTAAAACTAGTAAATAAACCATTAACCATGGTTAACTCTAGGGAATGGGAGTGGAGAGGTCAGTTTGATGTTTTGATTTATTCTGTACCATTTCAATTTGTTCAATGAGTATGGATGACATGAAATTAAAAAAAAAAAAAGTTCTTTTTGAAGTGGGGTGCTTTTGAGACAATGTGGAAGGTTAAAGAGAAAGATGAGGAAAATGGAAGTAGTAAGTCAGGACTAAAGATGTAACTTGACTAGAAGTCATCAAGTCTAATCTACTCGTTTTACAGCAGGGGAGGGGACAGGACTTGCCCAAGATCACATTACAAATTACCAGCAGAGCAGGGACATGATCCAGGTCTCTAGCCCAGGATCCCAGGAACGGTGGGGGTGACCAGAGAAGGGACACTGTGTGCCAAGTCAAGGCCAGGCTCTGCACTCTCACCCTGGAGTAGAGCTGCCTGGAAGCCCAGTCTACCTCAGTTCCCAAAGGAGGTGTCCTCACCTGAGTTCCGTGAGGTGCCCCCTCACCTAGCAGAGGGGAGGCCAAGAGGGAAGACACAGAACAAGTGCTGGCTCACCTAACAAGCCATGTGTAGCTCACTGTTTTTTGCACTGCCACCTGTAACAGATCTGACCTTCAGTCACTTACTGAGGGCCACCATCCCCTGGGAGACCCTCGACTTTAGTTCTCAAGTGACTCTTATCCTCTCCGATGTTCGAGCCTGCCATCAGACACTCAGGGATCACCAAGAAGCTATTTGTTCCTCTAGGTCCTATTACTGTGCCATCTGGCAGGCGGCTGGACCAGAGAAAAGAGGAGATAGCCCTGTTCCCAAAGGCTTCTCTTAAGTTCAGGGTAACTACCCGCTTTATACCTCTGCTCCTCAGGATGGCAAAGGGGAAGAAATCATAAGATCCAGGCAGGAAGTGGCTCCAGCAGTCCCTATTCCATCCCACTCCTCTTACCTTGGAGAAGGGCTGAGATAGCTTGAGGAAGTTCCTGTCCCTAGACTCTGGGCTGTAAATATGGACCAGGTTGTTGGGCGTCACATTGAGGTAATGGTTTCGAAGTGAAGGAGAAAACACTCCAATCTAGAGTTGAGGAAGGGGAAAGTCAGTGCCCTGATGGAGCACTAAGTACTGCCAGATGGCCACCTGGTCCTTGTGTACCTCTCTGTTGGTGGCCTCTGTACCAGGGTCACACAAATCAGTCCTGCCCCAGCTCTAGTACCAGAGTAGAATTACTTACCATACCCTCTTCCCCTCACCGCCCAACCCCCTTCCCCATCCACCTCTGAAGAATGGGAATCAGGCATTTTCCCACCTCCAGTAAAGCTGGGTCCAGCACCAGTCCAGCTACCCATTGCCTGGGCACTGGGAGGGAAGGGGGTCACACAGACAATTCGGGGGCCTCCTCCAGGGCAGGCGGGGTGGAGAGCAGCTCCCTATACCTGCTTTAGCAGCAGCACTGAGCCAGGCTTTAGCTCATTCTGGCGTGTCTCAAGCAGCGATCTATGTACCGTGCCTTGCATCTCTCCTGCAAATACCAAATGGCCCATTAGTCAGAGTCAAGGGAAGCACAGTGACTGGTTTTGGCCCTGGTTAGAACCAAGGGAAGCAGGCTGCTCACTGCCTCAATTTTCCCATCTACAAATGGAGAGGGTGACTCCTCCTCACCACCTAATCTCAAGGCCGCTCATCAGAAACTCCCAGGACTTGACTCCTCACCTGTGGGGTCCTTGAAAACCACACTGGCGTCCATCGTGCTCCGAGTTAGGGACTTGACCATCACTGCCATGTTGGGGACCTTGTTCCCGGGAAGCTGCTTCAGGGCGGCCTGGTTACAAGGAAAGGCATTTGCTGAGCTATCTATGTCCCACCTATAACGTTCCCAATTGTGCTAGAGCAAATTGGCGGGGAGGAGGGCAGAGAATAGGTGTGGTGATGATCTTCTCTTGTGGAGGGCAAAGGGGCAGTTTAAAGGGCTCATCCCATCTCTCTGGCAGTCCTTCATTTCTCTCCCCCGCCTCCTTTCTTTTCTATGTATCTATATAGAGCTCCATCATAGCAGGCCACGGGCAGGGATATGTTTGTGTATGTACTAACGTGAATCTGCACATGACCCTTGACCTCTAGGGAACTCTAGGGGTAGCACTGTGTTTACTGTACCCTATCCAGGGCCCAGACATGCAGAGACATGCCCATAACCCACCCTCTCCTTCTGCCCAATACCCACGGTGCCCAATACTGTGGATGGTAGTAAAAAGGCAGGTGAGCGGAAGATACGACCAAAGAAACTTCATGCTGCTGCTCAGAGACCAAAGAAACTTCATGCTGCTGGGGTAAGAGGAGCAAACAGGAGCCCCTTTCCTAAGGTGGAGCAGGGCAGTATGTTAGTGGAGGGGACGGGGAAATGGTCTTCCCTTCGGGTGTCAGAACCCAGGACACTTACCTTCCGCAGCACCATGATGATGCTATAAGTATAGAGGAAGCAGGTGGGGTCTCTCTCATCTAGGCCCAGAGCAGATTTCATGGTCAGCCAGGGCCCTCGTTCAAAATCCTCCTCCACTAATGCCTGGGAACTAGTCACAATCTGGTACCACAAAGCAGAGCGGGAGCTTGTATTAATGAGTCCACCTTGCTACAGATCTCCCCTGAGGCAGGATGGAGGGGTGGGAGAAAGGGTGAGTTCCCTATAACATGGTGGCCAGTCTCTCCTTTTTTTTATCTCCAAGGTCAGAAAATGGTATGTGAAATCTTGTCACATATCATATCTTTCACTTAGCAGCAATAGCTAAATCAGGTCCTGACTTTAAAGCAAAAGGCTATCCATACTTGTCTCTTGTATTAGACTTAAAAAGTCTTAGGACTAGGGAGCCCCCATATATCTCTATAGGTTTCCAGAGTGCCTTAGCCATTTTGAAACCAGTCATGTTTTACTTGGGATGCCTCTGGCTTTAACTATTAACCTTCTTATATTAAAAAAAATGCTTTGATCCAGATGAGTATTTACTACTTTGATATGAAATGGACCAGTGGATTTGTGGAGCAGCAGCAAAGAGAAAAATTGCTAGAGAGAATTAAAAGAAAAAGTGGGTCTGAGGGCAGAGCAGGTCACCAGAATTCCAGGGAGGAGGGAGACTGGATCCTACGCATCGAAAGGGAACCCATTAAAGGCCAGATGAAGGCAGATCCTTCTCAGCTTAATTCCAGAAGCCTGAGAAGAAGGGTTACTGAGATACAATTTCCCAGTACTTACTCCACTCTCCTCTTGAGGAAAGATGGAGTTAGCCAGACCTTCCTTTCTTAGATGGGAAAGAAGGCTGGACCCATGGCATCGGCTAACACCTGGCCGACATCAGGACAGGCTTCACTTCATGCCAGTAAAACTGCCATCTCCCCAAACTGCCTTCCCCAAATGCCCTTTAGTGTGTGACCCCAGGGAACAGCCCTAGGAGCATCAACTCTGATTCTCAACTCTGGAAACACGCAGGGATGGATGTCTTTCACTCTTAAATGATGCCCAGAAAATTAACATTTGCACAGAATTCATTACCTCTGTCTGGAATTTTGCCAGAGCACCATGAGTCGGAGTCTGGGGCGTGGAAACCATGATCTCCTCCAGATTTTTCCCACTGTGCTACAAGGGTGAGGGAGAGAGAAGGAGAAGGCGAAAGCAAGCTCAGCAGCTGTTATTTACAAGTGCAGCTTCTTGTCTGGGTTACATAATGAGTTAGGAAACTATCAGGGACAATTAACACATATTACATCTCTCCTAACGAAATCTCAGGAGCCTCATTGGCAGCTCAAAAAAAGACACTTTGGGGATCATTTTGGGAATGTGAGGAAGCCGGAGCTGGCCCAAGCACAAAACCCAGGGCTACCCAGGAGCAAAACCCAGGACAAAATTCAGGCCATTGAGGGGGCAATGACCTGAATAGAGAGGCCTGTGATATGCAGAGGGACAGCTTTCCCCAAGTCCCTTCTCAGGGACCTAATCTTTCCTTACAGAGATCTAGCCCAGGAGGAACGCAGATGGCCTCCTTGGATTTCTCTTAAAGTGCTAGCAAAGAGCAACTAATAGGCAGAAACTGTTTCAAACACCTTTAAAATGGGAAGAAAAGGATGCATTTGCCACAACCACACCAGGTCCTCAGAGTCCAGTGATCTGGGACCTGATCCAAGACTAATTTGATGGCTCCTGTCTTTTCACTACTGCTGAAATCCAAACTCTCAGCGCAGCCCCAGCTTCCCCAGGTGGACCCCACACACCAACTGTTCTGTGGCTCTCCGAGAGCATTCTGCTTTTACACCTATGTGCCTTTGCACATGCTCTTCCCTGTCTTCCCACTGCTGAAATGTCCTTCAGAACCCAGCCTTCCAAAACACGCACCTGTGATCTCCTACTTGTCCATTCAGCAAGCCCAAGTTGCCCAGTGTCTCCTGGTATCCAGGGAATGACCTCTACTCACACTGTGCAATTTATGTATAACCATTTGTTTGCATTTGCTTCTTCCACTACACTGTAAGCTCCTTAGGACAGGAACTATTTCTATGTTAATCTCTGTATTCTCAGTTCCAAGTAAATTGCCCAACACATATAAGTCCTTAGCAAATACGAGTGAATAAATCTTCCTGCCCCAGTGCTAGCAATAGCAGATGCTCAACAAACGTATGAAAATTGTCGTTCCCAGGGCTTTAAGCACCCCTCTTATATATGGTTTTTCAAGCATTCAATTTTGCCCTCCCACTTCTTTTGATCCTCCCACAGCTCTGAAGACCCTACCCCTCTGCACTTCCTTCCTTCCTTCCTTCCTTCACTCCCCCCAGAAGTGAAGATATTCTGGGACTTAACAAGGCTGAACTCTGCTTCTCCCCTTTGCCCACCCCAGTGTCCTGGATGGCTCTGGCTTCTGACAGAAAGAAGCTGTCACTCACCTGGTGAGGCAGGATCCCTGCTGGGCCAGGGAAGCGGCGTGTTTTGGTGTGGGTGGCGGTTCGGGTGGGTTGCTGGGGTGTCCGGTTGGCAGCAGTGACCAGCTGCACCAGGTGGTTGGTGACTATGGGTGTCTGCAGAGCTGCTTGGGGAAAGAGGGAGGAATGGGGTCCCTTCGGGGTGCTGACAGGAGACTCGACAGAAGACATTGGAGCTTGGGGTTGTAAGGAACCTCGAGGAAGAAATCCAGAGACAGTTCTTGAAGGAGTAGAACAGCTTGAGTTGGGAGTTCGTGGACCGGGAAAATGAGATTTACCACTCATGCAAGCATTTGGAGATTGGAATGGCTGCCTGGGGCCACGATTTTGAGGGCTGCTCTGAACAGTCCTGCCAGCAGCTTGGAGAGACTGGGGTGCTTGCAGAGGAGGACCTTTGGGACAGACCTCCCAGTGGGGGTGTTGAGCAGGAACTGTCGAGGCAGTTGGGATAGGAAGGCTACCCGTGGCACCAGAACTTGTGTGGGGCTGTGGAGTCCTACAGCAGTCAACAGGATCCGGAGGCTGACCCTGGGCTGACATGATACCAGTTATATGGCTGGCAGGCATGAGCCCCTTTTGGCAAGATCTGCTCTGATCAGCTACCCAAACCTTTTTAGCCAATATTGAGTCTTCCTGCTGCCAGGTGGGCAAGATTCCTGGGGCCTCACTGCTAACTCCAAGTTCCAGCTCCATGCTTGCCAGGACCTTATCAAATTCATCTTGTTCGGGTCCCTCAAAACCACCAATCACCTGCTGTTGGGTATCAAAGGTAAACAGGGGGTGGGATGCTGAGGACTGGGGTCTTGCTGGCTCTTGGAGCGCTTCTGTCAGTGTCACTCTTCTCTGGCTGCCAATCCAGCTGCCAGAAGTTGAGACAGGCTTTAGGGAGGTTGTTCCTGTGAAAGGTGGACTCCTGACAGCCCTGAGCATGCTGGAGGTAGGAAGGCGGAGTCCCAGGGCTGGTAGGTCCAAATCCTCCGAAGGAGCAGTGGGGCATGATGGCAGCTGCCTGGAAGACTGTGCCTGCACAGTCTCTTGTGGTTTGGAAGGGACAGGTCTGAGGCATCCAGCATTCATAGGCAATAAGCCAGCAAACTGGTTCTCCGCATCCTCCACAGCAGACAAGAAATCCTATAAAGCAGCAGAAACAGTGGGTCTTGGCATCTGGATATCAAGAAATACTCTGCTTTTACTGTTTCAGTCATGTGATGAGTATGTATGTGCAGATACACACAAGCAAGAAAACCAAGGCATGAAAGGCAATGGTGGAGTCTCTCACTATCTTTGACCCTGCCCATGAGCCCACCACCAGGCTTCTAATAGAAACGTTCACAGGCTAAGTCTCCAGGTAGCTTCCCTCTCTTTCTTCAATCTTGAGTGTGGGGGGAGGGGGAGCAGGGGGAGGCGGCGGTGGGTAGGCAGCGTGGCAGTTGGGGGAGCAGCAAATGTACCAGGGCACCAAGGAGTCAAACAAATCACCAAGGTCATAAGAAAACTAGCTTTCCGGTATCCAGCCTGTGCAATAGGGATCTGTCCAGCTAGTCATGCTGCTTGTCCTCAGCCCACTCCTCACCCCCACCACACACACAGCCTTTGGTAAGCCAGAGAGGCCTAATTGGCAGAAGTTAAATATAGCTTTTCAGGCAAGTTAAATTAAGTATGGATTCCACTTGGGAAGCAAAGTGAGATTGACACCTTCAAGAGCAACAGACCTATTCCAAGGGTGATTTTGAGGCAGAACTGCTGATTTAAATGACAGGAAGGTCCCCTCCACTTCTACCCCCTGCTGCCACACTGGATTGTCTGGGTTAGAGAAAGGCTTTTTTCCTGCTTTGTGCATTATCAGGAGAGTAGCATACTCCAGCATGACTACCTTAGGATCTAGCAATAATAATAGTAATAGTAATAATAATAATAATAATAGTAACAACAACAACAACAACATCAACATCAGAACTACTGTAGCAAAATCCTGATGACCCTGCGGGTTGATGGATCCCTTTTCTCAGGAAAAGTTCACTCTTAGACATGATGTCATTTGCCCTGGGAAGGGGCAAAGGGACTGGTCATGGAACGGACCCTTAAGCTGTCACATTCCTTCACTCTTAATTTCATTACCAATCTAGCAGTCCTACCATCACCTAGTAAGTCCCAAGAGGGTCACTTTAACAGTCTTTTCAGCCTGTAGTCACACATCTCCCAAGCTGAAAGACAAAGACAAGGACACATCTCCTTGACAAAGCTGGCAGTTTTGAATTATTTGTAAAAACAACAATCAAGTCCTCAAGTGATAACAAAAACATCTAATATTTGAAACTTCACTGGGTGCCAGGTACCATGCAAACATCTTATCAGAATTCTCTCAATGAATTCTCACGATAGCCCTATGAATAGGTAGTGTTATTATTCCTGTTTTATGGATGCACAAACTGAGACTTAGAAAGCTTAAGTAACTTCACAGAATCAGGACTAGAACCCACATGTGCACTTGTTACTATGTCTTAGGGCCTCAATGAATGAGACAAGCCAGAGACTGATTTTTAAGAGATCTGAAAGTCATTTTTCCCCTTCAAAGCTCAAGTTCCAAAATCCTCAGTGGAAGGGGAATATGGAGCTGGGGCTGCCAAAGGGTCCCTAATGCAGCATGCACCACCATACTCGGCACAAATTAGGTATCTGGGCAAATTCTACATGTGATTTTTAAAGCCAAGTGCTGGGAGAGAAAAAGTAGGTTTGAATAGCTTATCACTGACAAAATAGAGCAATTGTATTCTATAAATATATCTTAGTAGTTTCCATGTATGTTAGACTAGAGTCTGGGGGCCAAAATATCATCCTGTATATTGGTGTTGTATTCCTAAGCATGTTAATTTATCTTTTTGGGCTTTACTCATGTAAATCCTACCTCTTCCTGAAAAGGATCTAAGGTCACAATTTGGGACTTCTCAGGTAAAACTATATCTGGTGGGAAGAGAGCTATGGAGCTCGCTAGTTCAGTGGTCTCCAGCTGCCCCTAGAGGTTAGAAATACTCCTGCCTGAGCTCACCTCCCGAATTTCTAATTGGTGTGAGGTAGGGCCTCGACAGGGGTGATTCTAATGTGCCAGCTTCAAAACTAGTCTAATCCCTCATCTTCTGAGGAGAGAGAAGGAAAGGGAGAGCATTGGAGGCAGAAGAATGCACCTCATACTGCAGAAGGCCAGAGAATAAAGTAATTTGCCCAGGCTCACAGAGCCAGCTGGTGACCACATGCCTCCTGCTATCCAATAACTATGCTGTCCCTGGCTCTCCATAAACTTTCTTCCCACCTCAAGTATGTCATCAAGAAGGAGAATCAAATCATCCACACTACACAGCTTCCAGACAAGGGCCCTTATAATTTAAAGGTATAACAATCAGGCAGCTTGTCTCTCTGATTTTTTATTTGTTTCTAAGACAGTTAAGTAGGTTGTTTGCATTTCTCATCATTTCTCAGCCTCTCACAGACAAAAAAGATGTACATATTAAGTAGAAGGAGACCGGGGCAGACTGCTCCAAAATGTTCTGGGCCTGGGTGTTTACATCTTAAGACCTCCTCTGATCACCAACACTTCCTTACCTCATCTTCAAACTCCTCTTCCACAGCAAATAGCTTCTGCAAACTGCACGCCTGAAAGGAAAACAAAGCAATTGAGGTTGGAGAAATACCATTTGCAAGTACATTCTGTCCTCATTCTGCTTCTTCCCAATTCTAACAAGACCATCAGGTGTACTGTTTTTGGTTTGTTTTTTGCTAGTGTTGGGGGAGGAATAAAGGATGAGAAAAGAGATGGTATTTACTTAAAGACTTAGATGATTGAATTCTTTCTTGTAAAATAATCCACTCAGGTCCAACTACATTAATCTTGGAAGAGGGGGGAGGAAGCAAAGGGAAGGCTGCCAAAGGGAACATGGGTCATTCTTCAGATTCAGCACTCTGCACATAGGCCTAAGGATTTTGCAATATCCCAAAGGTTTGGCTGAGAAACCTTTGTCAAACATAAGATACGATCATAAATCCAAGCGTGTCCAGCACAGTGGCCTTGTTTCTAAAGCCAAGACAGTAGTTTCCTCCTACCTAATCCCATGCCTAAAAGCCAGGGTCCCAGGAGGGTGCCCCAATCCACAATTCCTTCTTTCTAGGCAGCAGGGCTGCTGTGGCCAGCTTTTGGATGTGTGTTAAAGCCAAGGGCTGTGCCTAACCCCAGATGCCAGAGCAGTAAGTACTACAATTAGGAATACCTACTCTCAAGCGTCCAAGGATCAGAGTGGACAGGTTGGGGGGAAGGGAAGAGCTCAGGGGCGTGACGTTTGAGCGCACCGGGAAAGATGAACAAGTTTGCCAAGAAGAGAGAGAAGGCAACAGGAAGGAAGCTGAGTCCCAGAGGGAGGTGAGTGAAGAGAGCCCTCCCAGGGTCTCCCGGCGCGTCCATGCCAGCCCAGACTTGAGCCTAGGTCTCCTACCTCACCAAGCTCTCATTTAAACCCTAACTCGGCCCTACAGCTCGCACGAGCGACGGGCTGGAACCCGGAAGGCAGTTCCCCGGCCCCAGGACTGGGAGGCCAGGCGGCCCTGGGCGCGGTATTACCATGGCGATGGCGGGTGGGCTTCGGCCAAAGGGTTAGCCGGGCAGGCCCTAACTCTAGAGGTCGCCGAGGCCTCGCACTTGGCCCGGGGGAAGGTCGGAGTACGGGCGACAGTGTCTCTGGGGCGAGGTCAGAGAGGTGTCCGCAACCCAGGCGGTGGCTTAGTGAGGGTCACCAGGAAGCTGAGGGCCGGCGCCCTAGGTCGCGTTCGAAGCCGCCGCCACTCCTGCGTCTCCGCCCTCTTAAAGGGGCGGGCCTATTTCTCTCCCTCCGACACAAAGGATTTTTCATTAGCCAGTCTTCCACCCCTGCCTTAAAGGGAAACGGATGGGCTCTCGGTCGCCCCCCAGCGGCCCCTAGGGCCGATTGGGTGGTTCAACATGCATCCAGGTAAGAGCAAGGTTGAAGATCATGGGCCCATTGCGCCCAGTCCTGCCCACTCTCCTCTCTTGCATTAAGCACACTAAGGATTGGGTATTTGAGTGTGACTCTCATTCACACCAGAGCCCACTCTGTTGATTTGTCTGTCTGTTCATCTATCCATCCATCCATCAATCTATCCATCTATTCTTGGAATACGTGTTTATTAAGCAAAGATGTTCACGGTCTGGCTCTTTTCATCCTTCCTGTTTCAGCTTAGATCTCAGATCCTCCCTGTCACCTATTCTATCAAGTAGTAGCCGTCCCCCCACCACGATACTATTTCCTTCTCAGCACTTTCCATAATTTATAATTGTCATGATTTACATCTTTATTGTTTATCTTTCTCCCTAGAATATGAGTTCCCTGAGGGCAGGGACCTGTCTGGCTTGCTCAACTTTGTATCTCCAGCACTTAGCACAATGCACAATAGATTTATTGAATGACACAACAGCTACCTTGTATCAGTTATTATACTTGGTACTGGGGACAGAGAAATGAATGACTCCTTGTGCCCTCAAGTTCACAAACAAGTCAGGGAGACACAGATCAAAAGATAGAGCCCGGGAGAATTGTGCAGAGAAATGGGCACGGGCCTAGTGACCTGGGAATGCCAGCTTTTGTCACTAAAGCCTGCTATGGTTAATGACCCTCACTCCTACCTCAGTTTCTTTTCTTGTCACTACAGGTCTAGTCAGAATGACAGTTAGGGCTGCATAGTTTTGAGAACTCAAAAGGCAGGAGGAAGGTCGCAGACTCGAGTTCTTAACCATCTGGTCTGAGCCAGCCCTGGATCTTTCTCTAGAGTGGCCTGGCCTGGCTTTACCTTTGGGCACCCTATGGCTTCCATCATAGCTTTATGTGGACTAGTTTACCTGTTGTATGTCAGAGGCTAGATGGCAATGGGAAAGGGAACCTGGATTCTGAACTTTTATCCAAGTTAGGAATTCCCTCAATGCCTCCGTGCTTCTGAGCTGGGGGAAGAAATCCCAACCTCCCATTTACGGGCCTCCTCTCCTCACAGGAGTCCCAGCTGCAGTTCATCCTGCCCTGCTGTGGATAGTCCTGGGGACCCAGTAATAGGGCTCTGGATGACAGGAGATCACAGAGCCCGAAAGGCCAAGAGGAATAATAACAACTCCCATCTACACTGTGGTCTGCAGCTTTCAATTTTAGCCAATAGCTCATTTTGTTTTCACAAAAATCCCATGAAGAGTGAGGCGGAAGGTACTTACAGATTAGGAAACCGAGGCCCTGATGGGGAACGGACTCCCTCAAGGGCTCACAGTCATTCATTGGTGGATCTATACTTTCTCTCCCATCACCTTTCTAAGTTAAATGAACTTGGCATCTGCTGCTCCTACTGCCTGTTAGAACCTGGATGGGGGTGGGGGCAGTGGCTGGAGCAAATGGAAAATGTAGACTTGGGACATTTTAGAAAGGGCTAGCAGGATGCAGTACGGAGGTTGTCTGTGATTTTGGAATTGGGAAGCACCTACATTTTTCCCAAAATCAAATGTCTTCTCCTTCCTAACGCTGTCATCTTAAGGTAAAGACAAGAACCAGGTCGCCATGGTGATGGGGCCCAGGTACTCTCCCTCCTCTTAGAAGAGAGGTTAGTGGGCTTAACTCTAATAATGAGGCTTGAGGATATGGAGATTTGGGTGAAAAAGGAAGGGATGGGTTCAGGCAAAGGGAGTAGTGAGTGCTGGGACTTGGACAGGACCAGATCCCCAGCTGTGAAGTGAGGTACAAAGTGGAATAAGTATAATGATAAGTCTCAATAGCACTGTGATTTAACCTAGAATAATAACAGCCAGTACTTCCTGAGTGCTTTCTGTGTTCCAGGCAAAGTTTTGGGCACTTTACATGTATCAACTCACTTGATCATTGTAACAAGCCTTAATATAGATGCTAGGATGACTCTTGCTTTGTGGAGGAGGAAAGGATCAATATCTTGCCAAGCTCATGTAGCTAATAGGTGGTAGAGCTGAGATGATGAACCAGGCAGTCTGACTCTAGCATCCACAGGCTTAACCACTATGTTGTTCTGCCTCTTTTAATTCCAAGGACCTGGGTTCTTAATCTGGGGCTTCAGGAAATATAAGTCCCCTATAACTGTATGTAAAACATTGTGTGACTATGCACATATGCCTTGTTCTGAGAGAGAATCCATGGCTTTCATCACATTTTCATGAGTCAGAAGTCTGTTGCCTTGCTTTTTCTTAGGACCAAAATATACCCTACTCCCCCGCCCCCAATACCCTCCATCTCTCATTTTGTCCAGATGCCTTACATTCTTCATCAGGACTTACCGTCTCCTGCCTGGACTATTATAGTAGCCTTCTACATGGTCTCCCTAGTCCAGGCTCTCCTCCCTTCTGTCCGTTCTTTCTGACATGCAAATTAGATACTATCTTTCCACTGTAATCATTCTTCAATCACTTCTGATCAGCAGAGGATGACATATAAAATCCCTAGGGCCTGCGATGCTCTGGTATCTGCTTCCCCCGCCATCTCATCCTCAACCAACTTCCTAGTCAATACTAATCCCTCTCCACCGCACTCATTCTTCATGCCCAAGGTCATAGGCTGCCTCCTCTAAGACTTCCTTTACTGTCTCAGGTGGACCCAGTTTTCCTTATCCTTGATTCACTGCATTTGCAGCCCACCTCCACTATAGCTTGGGTCTCTTGTATGCCCCGTAATGTCTTCAGGTTTCTCCTCATATGTCCTTGCTGGACTTTGAACTCCTTCAGGTCAACAACTGCGGCTTTTCACTTTTGTGAACCACACTTGGCACATGACCTGGCACATGGAGGACATTCAGCAAGGTTTGTTAAATGATTTAATGCCATTTATCAGGAGGGAGTGCGAATGAGACTGGATGACTATGTGCTCAATTCCATGAATACCTACAGTTGCTGGATGAAGAGCTTCATCTTCTTAGGTACAAAGGAGATCATACTTGGTGTGTGTGTGTGTGTGTGTGTGTGTGTGTGTGTGTGTGTTCGGAGACAGCATGCTGCATTGGTTAGACAAATCTTGGCTCATATTTGACCCTGCTCCTAACTGGCTGTGTGACCTTGAGTAAGTTACTTTACCTCTGTGAACCATAGTCATCTCATCTATGAAAATGGAATAATACATCTTCCTCACAGGGCTGCTTTGAGATTAAATACATTAATGCATTGAAATGGCCAATGCCATGGCACATTGTCAGGGGTTTCACAATGTGGGTTCCTTCCCCACCACTTGAATTCGCAAACACGTGCTCAGATTTCTTATGGGAACCACATGGTTTCAGTTTGTATCTATTTCAGCATATGTGCAAATGCATTTTGCCCTAATTTGTGTTTTTAATCATATGAACAGTTGTATGCAAATTGGTATACTAATGTGTGTGTTTATGTGTTTCTATTGACCTTCACCTTGGTATGGACAGTGGCATATACTGGAAGTGTGTACACATACTGAGAGTCTTGCATGGTTGTGCTGGCGGGTGAGTATTATATGTTGAGTGAGTGTGGAATGTGTGCAGAGTGAAATGTGTGTTTTGTACTGCATATGAAGGTAGGGGTGTGAATGTATGCCGGGGAAAGAGCTGGTCTGTTTGTGTGGCTTTGTGCGTGTGAAGGCTGTGTAGACCAGCTCTGTGAGATAGAACTTTCTGTGTTGATGGAAATATTTTCTATTTGTACTGTTTAATAGGACAACCAGTGGCTACATGTGGCTATTGAGCACTTGAATGTAATGTGGCCAAGACTGAGGGACTTAATGTTAATTAATTTGAATGTAAATAGCCACAGGTAGACTATTCACAGAAACCTCAACCTTGTTCTCCACAGACCAGTGGTGTGCATACCCCTCCCTCATAGCAGGATAATGGACCTGCTGGAGCCACGCCTGTGCGTGTGCACGTGTGTGTATCCACATGTGTGCACCCGCGTGTGAGGTGTGAGACGTAAAAGAGGGGGCTGCTGCCGCCTCCCCCAACCCAGGTCCCCAGGCGAGCAGTGAATCAGCCTGACAATAAAGTGAGTCATTCATGAACTGCTGGGGCCGACCTAGCAGGCAGGAAGCAAACGTCAGCCAGCGCCCAGCCCTCCCCTCCAACCCCCCAGTGGGATCCCTCATCCCCACGCACTGCAGATGTTGAAGAAACTGACACAGGCGAATCAAGGCACCAAAGCTCGTTCTCCTCAGCCCCTCCCTTCGGTTTGCAATCCATTCATCTCCCAGTCCCTTTCTCCCCTCCTGTGGCATGTGAGTCATCTCAAGATCCACACCCCCAATCCAGCCCCCACCACCCTGAGCCTCTCAGAGCTGGTCTTCCTCCAATGTTGGGTATGGGTACAGAGAGGCTAGACCCCTGGTGGGGGTGCCAGGATCTGCCTTGGGAAGCAAGGCTGACCCACTCAGGGCTGTGGGGTGGATGGGGCTCAGGGCTGGCTGCAGCTGGCTGAATCTCCGGAGGGGGCATTCAGCTTGCTTGGAAGAGCATCAAGACAAACATGGGGGCAGCAGGGAAGGAGTTGCTGAGGCTGCTGTCTGGAGCACTTGTGGCTGGTGGTGAGGAGGGGGTGGGGAGGGGACAAGAGTATTCCTCTACTTTCCAGGAAAGTCCCTCAGAGTGTCTCCCCAGTACCCGACATTCTTCAGAGCCTGGTAGCTTTTCTCCTCTGTATTTCTTCACCTGTCCCCAGCAACCTGTACCTCACTACTCCCCATCAATCAACCTTCTCTTGGACTGAACCTTACCTGAAGATTCAGACTTTGACAAGTGGGTCCCGTAGTGGTGTGCCCTTAGGGGGTCAGAAAATACCATCAAAAGCCTTAAA